TGTCCATTTAAAAAATGATGGCAAGTATTCTTCTATTTCCTGCAATACTTCTGCTTGTTTCAGATTTAAGTGATACCTAAAAAAATAAAGCCACTTACATTAAGGAGACAAATATTACCTTTGCTTCTGACACTGAATTTCAAACATTACTGGAAATAACTGTCAAGTTTAAAGAACCATCTATAAAACAGACAGCAGATTCATTAAGATTCACCTCAACTGATTAATCCATAAAACTACAGCTGATCACCAGTTACAAAAGATGGAACACACTGTTTCTGATCTAACTCCCTTGAAACAACAGATGTAATACAAAGAAAGCATCAGCAAGGTGAAAGTGATGAAATAAAACCAACAGTAGAAGTGAAAGAGGACTGCATTTAGAACTGCCTATTCCTATGCTTTATGCAAAACTGAGAACATGAACGAAAACGACCATTTCCTTGTATTTGTTTTTTTGTCTCAATACACTGATCTGCTAATTGCTCTTGGTATACATTTTGATAGGCTTCAGGCCATTTCAAATGGGGGAAGGAATCACCATCTTCAGTTGCTACAGTTACAAACATGCAAGAAAGCAGAAGCCTCATTAAACAGAGCCTGATCATGTGGCATTAGACAATTCAGTGCTGGCATCCACTGGAAATAATGTCATTATTTTACAGCACCAGAGAAATACAAGCAAGTTTTACAAAACAAGTGCAAATGGCTTTAAACATCAGGCTTTTATGTAACTTACTCTCTAGTACCAAGAAATAGTAGCTTACATATGCAAAGACCAATTGAAACGAACAGTTTCAAATATGGAAGCCCAGTGTGAGACACATGCCTTGAGGAACGACAATCTAAAACAGTCACCTTCATATCAGAACCAGAGTAATAAATCTTGTTCTCATTTTATTTCTCATCTCTTCCAAGGCTGACAGACACTTTTCCCCAGTACGTGCTTTGTAATGTTCTAGAGATAACTGGATTTATGTGACTTGAATTCAATTTTAGTCAAGTCTGCAGTGGATCCCTTTAAACTGACAGCCACTTGTCTCATCATTTCTGACAGAAATATGAAGACTACTATTCATCCAGCTAGCATTTCCATCAGACTTGCTGAGAAAATAAAGGTCCTCTAACATCAGAGACATTAAATAACCCAATGAAGAATATATCAAACATCTCAGAAGCTTGTTGGTGACCAAGCACTATGTTATTTCCCAGCTATCAACACTAATTATGCTCATCAAATTTTCATCAGCTTTCAGAAATGCCGAGAAATAAGGTGTTACAGACAAAAACACCCACACAAGCACACTGTTGGAGTTTCTTCAGAAGCATAATTTACATCTATGGAAGCAATTCAGCAGGGCAGGCATATTAAACTACATTATGGAACAGTGAAATATTAAAAGACTCCTGAGTTTTATTAAGCAAGGTCATTTGGTAGAACATTCTCCTGATAATAGTAAATTTCTACTTCAAAAAAATGTGTTATCTGCTAGTTCAAGCATTCCTATCCAGTCTTCAAAACAAAAACATACATGTATCTGCAATGCTACTTACATTTCTCTGAGATACTTTTGTCCATATACGATTTTATTTGCTAGTTCTTTTACTTTTTCAGGTGACAGGTTATTTGTTACTGATTGCTGGAAAATTTCATGAAGAATTGTACCAACAAGCATTTGGCGTGATCCAGAGTCAGAGCCCTAAAACAGAAATGATACAACAAACATCAGGATTTATGCTAAAAAATGTAGCTTCTTTACAAAATGTCTGGGTTTATTTACTGCACATGATAGATGTCACTCATTTAATAATTGACAAACCATTTGATCTTTCATCTCACTAATTAATATCAGTTCAAAACTGACTGTGAATGCAGCCAAAATGAAATGAGTCTCTCCTATTGCTTTCTCTCTCATTTTTCTCTGGTGTTAAGATGCAATCCTTATGTGATTGACAGGTGAGGAACAAAGACACAGATTAAAATGAATTGTGAGCAAGTTTTGCTCATGAACAGTATTAACAGCAGCATTTCCTAGTGCAACTCTCTTTACAATCTTACAAATACTATTTTTTATTATGCACACATTAAGCAATTTCACATTGTTTTACCAACTCACATGAAATTGGTCCAACAATACCAGAATGGCTCAGAAACCCGTCTAAGCCATTCAGGAATGGGTTCTGTAGACTTCTAGCAGTAAATTATGACCTTTAAAAAGCCACCAAGAAACTGCAAAGCTAATCAGTATGTTTTGTACTTACTGACCTCTTTCACAGACCTGGCAGTTGTGGGTTCCACTCCCAATTGGAAGGTGGTGTTATCCTGTGATCAGCACCCTTTGCATTGCTCCTTCCAAACAAAATTGTTCCAAGTTCCAGTACTTGGATTTAGATTCCAGAATTAGCCCACATCAGCCCTAATTCCAGTATAGGTATATTCCAGCTAGATCATGAGCTAAAGAACTCTTCTCAGAGGGTAAACTGCCTAGCCTTGCTGATTTTTCTGATGTTTTTAACTTGTCCAAATGAGGTTACATTATGTTCTCATATAGCCAACAGGAGGCACATCCCTCAGAAGGGATTCCTATGCACAAGGTACATGTCTAAAAACCAGAAGAGCATCAAAGAAGTTGCCAGAATCTTAAGATGGGGGGTAGAACATTTTTGTCTCCACTACCTGTATTAAGAACACAAGATGACTTCAACTGAAAACCTCTGCAAAAATAAAAAAAACACAAACCACAAGTAGCCTAAACATTGTGAAGGTCAATACAATTTTACAGAACAGCATCTCAACCAACAGTTTTAATTAATATTGAGTTAAACTAACAGTTTCCATGAAACATTAGCCCAATAAAACATCTGATGCTCCACAATTAACACTTACCCTAAATTTTTCACTCAGCACTGCTCTTCTTATGCATCGAATGCTGCTTGATATTGTAGTGCCAGACAGCAGCAGATCTGGGTAAAGAATGAGGTATCCTGACTGTTCATCTATTATCCACGTACCAGAAGTACAGTCCCCTTCTAAATGAACAATGTCTCCTGGAACAACTGGAACACACTCCCTATAAAACAATACATTAAAAAACCATTTGCAAGCAAAGGTCACCACACCTAAGAAATTATACATTAACATAACAGATTCACCATACTTCAAGTCACTCCAGATCCATGCTTTGAGTCATTTCAGTATTGTTGTATTTTATGCTAGCATGCTACACTTTTTAATTACGTAACTGCAACCTTTCTATTAAACTTGTTTCAAAAGCTCAGCAAAATCTCAAAGTATTTTATTATTAATAATAATTTTAAAATATTTTCATTAATTGACAAGTTTCAAGGTTCAAGATCTTTTATATTTTGTCTTCTAAAGTCTTCTTAGACTTTGCTTTTCCTTTTCCATCTTCCAGACTTTCACGCAAAATTAAAAGCAGTGCTTTTCATTTTCAAAAGCACACTGCATATGCATTTCCCTGTGTTTCAAAAGACTAAACAAGTCCTTTCCTCTACAACATACCATCAATGCACAAACACCTAAACTAGAATCCTCATTGATTCCCTTATTAAATACTTTTACTGTACAGCTCAACTTAAGATTTCAACGTATGTTTCAAAACCCCATGTTTTACAGACATAGTACTTTCATATGAACAGTGAGGGTTCATCACTCAGAGTAATACTTCTACCTGAAACTAAGTAGCCTAATTAAAATTTATAATCTTTCTACTTCTTCATATGAATGCAAGACTGAACAAACTAAAACTTTATGGTAGCAATATGCACTCAATACAAGTTAAATGGCATCAGTTTTCTCAAGACAAACACCCATTACACTAAAATGATGACAATACAATATTAGATAAAGGTTGTTTCAACATTTCTAATCATTTTTAAGACAATACTCTCATTTTCAGTAAAACTCTCCTCTAAGGCAACACAAAGAAAATTGAGTTATTAATACAATATTTCATGCTCCTTTCAGATGTCTATATTTCTGTGTGCCTTACCAGCCATTCCTAAGGATGCACAGCTCTGTATCTTGCAGTGACTGAGATGAGGTGACTGTCAGGTGCTTCTCAGAATCATTTCCATTACTCTGCTTTACGCTGACCTCCAACACACGGTATCTGTTGTTCAACCCATTCTTAAGTATTGCACTAGAGGAGTCAGTCACTGTCTTCCGGAAACTGAAATAACAATTTGTGAATACAAAGACATTAGGTTATTTGAAAAGAAAAGAGCTAACCCACACACAAGACGAGAACAAACTTCAAGCATAAATTCAACATCGACCCCCTTCAAATTTCTAAATGTTTGTGTATATAGACAGGTAATTACAGTGTGCTTTTTAAGTTTTATACCGATAGAGTATAGGAAATCTCTAACAATGGTTCCATATTGTTTCTTTGAAAGAAGTGAAAAAACACCGTTTGGATATATGAACCATAAGGAAGAAGATAAATACTACGGAAGCTTTAACGAAGGAGACATACGTAGCACATAAGCTACTCCTTATTGCAGTTAGTGCTTCCATTTGGTGCCTCAACACTCGCCGATCCCAAACTTAACTCCAACTACGCTTCAAACCCTGCGCCCGTGAGCAAGCCCCCGGCGGCGGGTCGTTATTCCCGTCAGCCGCCCGCACGCCGCGCTTCTAATTTCAAACCTCCCGCCCCAGGGGCGCTGCGCCCCGGCCGGCAGCTACCTGTCGGCCATGAGGGGAGCCCCCGCGGCTCGGCCCGGCTCGGCCCGGCTCGGCCCGCCTGAGCCCCGCGGCGCTGTGAGGGGAGCTGCTGAGACGAGGCGAGGGGTCCGCTCCCTTCCTCGCGCCTCACAAAATGTCGCCGCCCCCGGCCCGCCCCGCCCGCCTCCCGAGAAGCCCCACCCCCAGGCCGGCCATTGGTGGGAAGGAGGCCGCGCAGCCAATGGGAGGCGCCGCCGCACGGCGGAGGGGTGAAGGCGGGAAGCGGCGCGCGGCGGCCCCCGGCCGTTAGGGGTGGGGCCGCGCTGTGAGGGAGCCCAACGGTCAGCGCCGGCCCCTCAGCGTCAGCGCCGCTGGTGCCCGCTCCTCCGGCAGCCGGGCGGCGGCTCAAACGGAATTTCGAGGTGCTTTTCTTTCTCCCAGTGCCTGTGGGCGAACCTCAACCCTGGCGTTGAGCTTTTTCTGTGAGAACAACCCCTCAGTACCGGTCGCTGCTGGGCGGGCAGCCACACCGAGGGCCTCTGAGGTGGCACGGGAGTCACTGACACGCAGACTTTTTTTTTTTGTCACAAGACCGCTAGGACTGAAGGACACAGGTATTAGATCTATTCTTGACACATCAATATGAGCATTCTGTCGTTAAAATGTTATAAAAGCTATGTAATTGCAATTTGGTCTTGCCTCTCTTCAATGTAGCTGAACGCTGGGAAACAGTATCGCCCTCCAGTCCTTCAAAGACAGATTTGGCAAGTGGTAATGCATCGTAGCAGGAGAATCCAAGCTTAAATTTTGCAAGGTAAGGTCGTACTCAGGTGAGTGCCTGCTCTTTAGGATAATCCTGACATACATGGAAAAGACTACATTATATAGTTTCCATCGCACAGCCACTAATAGAAGCTATCTGAATAGTTAATATGGCCATACTATTAAATGCACAGGCACATAATTTGGAATGGTATTAAAACATTATTTTCACAGCAATTTTTACTTTGTACATTTGATAGCCTCGTTTATGTTGCTTCTCCCTTTCACATACACTAGAGAATAAACAATGCAAAGAAATATTGAAAATTATCAGTGTAAAAAGAAGATTCAAATACATGCAAACGTTCCTGTCTAACTTTCCTGAAAATGTTACCATCATTCCTGTATAAATGCCTTAGTTAGTTACAGCAGGCAGAAATTTCCATTATGAGAAAATAGTTGAAGTAGGGAGTTTATTTTAAAGATAGTGTTTGATCACTGGAAACAAACACTCAGACTGCGATTTTTGGGAACTACTATGGATAAACCTGCACATAAACTTTTATGTCAAAGAGTATCTGAAATAGCTTGGTTAACAGAGTTTTAAAAGTATTATCCAAGACTACATAAACAATTCTTCACAGAAGGTAAGTACTTCATTGGGTAGCACTAGCAGTTATGAGACTATTATGATTAGGATTTTAAGGAAATGTGGTTAAAAAAAGATACTGAGGCTTCTTCATTCAATAAAGTCATTTGGAATAACTATCTATACCACCAAATAAACAGAAAAACTAAATCTTGGCATTGTCAAAAATATTTTCTTACACATCTTCTCCACCTTCAGCAAGCCTTTAAAAATGACTTGGAAGCAATTAAATCAAGAAAGAACCAACACACTCACACACCAATTTATAGTAACTTTTAAAGTTTCTAGAAAGGAAGTACCCAAGCACATTTCCAATTGTTATGCTGCTGATACGTTTGAAGAACTAGAATAGTTTGAAAATAAAACTGTATGTTAATGATCACCAAGTTCTTTGAGGTCCAATTGCTGACAAACCAGTAAATTTAGAAAAACAGTGGCAGAAGGGTAGTTTAAAAATAAATTAGAAATTTATTTCAGAAATAAAAATTCACTGCAATATTGTTTTCCTGCAAGTCAAACTAAAAATCAGACCAAAAATCTTAATTGTTGTCTCTTTTAATTAAGAATGACAATTTTATGCAGATTTAACAAGGAGAAACATTCAGATAATTTCATAAACTTTTTTTTTTTGCTACAACACACAAAATCACACAGATATTACTTCAAAAATTTTAATAAAATAAATTCAAATACATCTTGTTCTCTGTCCATAACTATATTGTTAAATATCAAAGAAATACATACTTTTAAGAAACTGGAAAAAAAAATGAGCCATAAAAGTTGGTTTGGGATATATAACTCAAAATCCAGCTTGTCAAATTTGTCAAATTTAAGCAAATTCATGGTATCATCAACCAGTTCATTTAACAAAACCATTACCAATTCTTAAAGGACACTGATAAAATATTTACAATAAATAAATAATTTACATCACTTAAAGCAAATGCTTTACAGTTTCCTGAATCAAGTGAATAAAATCAAAAGTACCAATGCAGATTATGTATTAACAAATGTGGAAAACAATTCCTTCTACAAAAGGAACTGTAGTAGGAGAAAAATGTAAGTCTATTGCATATCATACTTTAGAAACAATACATACACACATCTACAGATTCCCAATACAACCTTCATTTACTCCTCCTCACATCCTCCCCAAGAGGTTGAATATGGTCCAGATGCTCAAATAAGTAAATGCAGCAGCATGCGCTCTTGTTTGTCACCACATTTTAAGGTAGGGACAAACCTGTTTACAAAAGCCAGTACTGTCAAGTAGATAATATACTTACAGCCTTCAATAAACTAAATTGAGAACATTAAGCTCCACATAAAAGGTTCATAATGCATTGCAAGATTAGGCCCATACTAACTGCCCTAAGGAGATCTTTTCTAGCACTTGTCATTGTACAAGTTCCACCTGCTTTTCTTTATGTAGATAGAGCATTTTCTTTTTAGAATAGAATGCATGCAAATAAACTGCTTTCCAAATTGCAAGATTACAAATAATGTTCAATACTTTGTGTCATAGTTTATTGAAATGTCTGAAAGGACTTTCATATGTACCCATCTGAAGATATGTGCATTGTTCTTATTATACAGAAAATTTGTACAAAAGGAAAAAAAAAAGAAAAGATTGTAAAGTTGCGGTCTACTGAGTTTAGCTTCCGCAGAGCTGGCAAGTAGTTGAATATAAAAAACATTACATTTTATTCAAATTAGTTTAATCAAATTAAATTTTAAAGAACAGATGTCTATTAGCTTAAAAAGCAATACAATCATGTATATAACTCCTGGAATGGTGATAAAGCTAGATAGCTAACAGCTTGAAACCCGTATAAAATGTGGGTGTAATTTTAAAACTGTGTAATTCTTAACATTAATCTAATAAAGGCTACAAGATCAAGTGCAAAAAATGTTTATAGCTAACTAATACTTATTATGATCTGTCTCCTGGTTTTAATCCAGAAAATTAACGACATTTTGGCAAATAAAATTAAGTTGTCATACAACAGCAGCTCCACAGTATCATATATTTAACTTCAAGTAATTTATTCACCAATAACACTTGAGGACTGATAGTGTAGTTTTATCTTAAAGCTTCAGAAAATTTAGTTGAGGTGCAAGAATTGTTTCATAAGTTCATATGTGGTAAAAGCCACTGCCTGGGAAGGAATGCAACGAATATAATTTAGCGATAGACCACGGTATAATCCTCTTCGTATTCCATGTTGTTGATAGACATATTTCAGTGTCTGCACCATTGTACTGGAAAAATAAGAACTTGAATCATTATTGAATAAATGCATTTAACAGCCAAATCACTTTCTTAAACACAAAACACTTCTTTTACTTGATTCCTAAGAGATCTATGTTTAAAAATAAAAAAATGACTCCATAAAGCAGAATATGACAGTCCTTTCAGGACTCAGAAGACAGTCTGAGCTTCTGCAAGACGTTTGCACACAAAGGCTGAAAATCAGAAAGAGGACAGTGCAATCCCATATCAAGACACTGCAGTCTGAAAATGATCTGCCCTAGCAGACGTAGTAAGAAATTTTACACCAGAATGGCCACACATTTTCTATCTGGCAGAAGGCAGTTATGAAGCACCATTTCTGGCTTACCAATGCAAATACAGAGTAACAAAAACAATATACTTTGCCCAATGCACACTTCTGGTATGAAATACCAGTATTTAGGTTTTGCATTCCATTCCCTTATTTTCTCCTAAAGTTCTGCACATAAAGCTTGGTTAGCCATGATTTCTACATCTTGCATGTGTGTAGCCTCCTCACCCCAAGCAAAGACCTCTTTTCTCTCAAGAGAGAGACACTAATGCATGTTAAGTATAACGTTTGACCTTATTAGAAGCAGAATTTGTGGAAGGTATGCAAGGCGAAAGATTTTCCTCACATAGCTATATTGAAACGGAGCAAAGACATTATAATGCAAAGCCCTCGAGTAAAAACCTCTAAGGTGCTCAGCACTCCAAGATATTAAAGACATTACTCTTTGAGAATATCTTCAGTGTGCCTCAGAATTTCAGTAATTTTCTTGTTTTACCTTCTTGTCCGCTAAAGACATTTGTCTACTATACTTCAAGGTACAGCTCTCCCCAAACACAGTCACAACGGAATTGGTAAACTTGGAAGCCTAATCGTAAAAGCATTAATTCTCACAAACACAGGAAGCAAAAGCCCAAGGACAAGTAACACATTTTTATTTTAAAAGTATCTGGAGTGAAAGTAATCAAGGAAAGAAACAAAACAAAACAAAACTTACGCTGTTAATGAAAAACAGAACAGCAACTTCCACAGTGAGCAACATCTAAGGTATTTATGAAAGCTCACTGAGACTACTGCTTGTAAGATCCAACTCATCATGCAGGTGGCTCATAACTGGACTCAGATACACACAATTCCACAAAACGTGAAGTAGCCAAGATAAAACTTTCCTGAAGTTTAATTTGTTTAGGGGAATTTGAAACTCAGAATGTTTTTCAAGATGACACCTGACTTAATACTATGATTTGAAGGATATTATGGTACTTCCACCTCTACTGGACTGAAGCATATGACTAAAAAACCTGCAGGAACCCCAACTACAATCAGTGCATGTGACATTACTGTAAGTGAAGTCAATAAAGCAAGTCAAATAGAATAATATTATTTAACATCAACTTTTGGAACAGATTCTGCACCATTAAAGAAATGTCTTGAGACATCTCATTTCAGGAGAAGCAGGCAGTCTCTCAGGGATCCTACGGATACTAAGGATGAGTTAGTTGAGTTAAAATATGAAATATATACCTATTCATACAGACACGGTATTAGTAAAAACAAAGTGTATGTGATTTTTATTTTTTTAACCCCAGCTTTTGACCAACTGTGTGGAAACCACATATTTGATTAAAAGCATAATGAAATCAACACTACAATAACTCATTAAAAAAAAAAACTTTTAAACTAAGAATTTAGCATTGCTCAGACATCTCGGAACTCAGTTCCCAAAGGTAAAAAGGAAATACTTACAGGCACTTGTCAGAATCTGGAAGAACCGCTCCTAACTGCATTCGCCTACGAGTTACATCAAGAGGGTATCTATAGAGGAGATATTTGAACAGCAGTTCAACCAGATGTGTGATGACTACATGAGAATATTGTGTTGTTTGTTTTTGTGGGTTTTTTTAACCAAAAAAAGAATACAGAAGTCCACGTGCAACTTCCAAGCTCCCTTTTCAGTGAGTCAGGAATCCGGCTTAGATTCTCAACACAGCTGAAAGTTCTCCAAAAAGGAGAGACTTCCCTATACAATCAAAATCAGCAAATCAGATCCCTTAAGGTATTCCATTTGGCATGAGTAAGGAAGACACATGAAGATCAGATGAGAATATAAAACAGTCTGTAAAATGCTGGAGGGAGAAGACACCTGAATCAAAAATAAAATTAACAGTTTAAAGATTAATAGAAAATGTATTTGTGACATTTGTAATGCAGTGATTTAGTGAAAAATCGATGCCACGAAAGTCTTTCAAATTCACTTGGTTTATGGCCAAAAGAAAATATAACAAGGACAGCATGAGAATGGAAGAAAAGAGGCAAAGTAATAATAAGGTAATGCCAAACAACAAAAGAAAAGTTTAAGTTATTGTAGATTCTATAGATTTGCAGGTTACATAATTTTAGAAGTAAATTGTAATAATAAAATTCTGCAAATGATGTTCCCACTCCAGATTTCATAGTTTACCGCACAAGATTCCAGCTGATTTTAGTTTTGTCTGAATTTAATTGACTCAATGCATTTATCTTTAACCCCCCTGAGAATTAAATAGATGTTTACTACGTGAAGCAATATAATTGCAACGTGTCTGATTAAAAACCCTTACTAACAACTAGACTCGTGAAAAAGTCATTCTCATGAAAAACACTTTTTCTAGAACAAACAGCTATATAGCAAAAAAACAAACAATACCCAAACTTACGATATCGTCTGAGCTATTGCTCCAGCTATGCCACCACACAGCAGATTTACATGTGTTTTCAAAACTAAGACATCGGGATTATCTAAGGAAGGCCGTCCAAGCAAGTTAGGTGCTTGAGCAAGTCCAATGCTCTTTAAGGTACCAAAGGTAAAAAATGAAAAACCTAAAAGGAAATTTAATTTTATGTACTTTCACAAAAGAGCAAAGTATTTGATGTATGTATCATCATAAACAAAAATCTGCAATTACAAGATTAAACTATTTTCCAATCCTATCAGAAGTTTTCTTAAGCAGAAAGAAATAGAATTGACAAATAATACTTTAAGTTTGTCCAAATTAACGTTTATAATTAATATTAAAAGAATGCTTTAAATAAGCTAGACCACAGATTTTAAATTACTGAATTGCTGCTAAGAGTAACCCTCTAAGATCTATTTAACTGGAAAACACTTATCATCTAGAGGTGAGCGTAGTTTAGGTAGATAGTTCTGCTGTTCCTCCATCTCACGCCACCTACTTCAGCTTGGCCAAGCATTTTTACAGAAGTCACCAGGAGATGGAGCCAACAGAGAGCCTCTAAACCTCCGCCTCTGCCCTCCCGTGGATTTACCTGTTTGAGAGAGAACCTACATGCTTTCTTACGACAAGACTGGGAAGCAGAAGAGGAAGAGAACTACTTTGCCTCTTTCCCTCTCAACTTCAAGTCTGCAGAAAGCCTGATGATGATGCTTTAACACACATTGATCAATTTAGATAAAGAACTACAAATGCTTCCAATGGCCTCCCCTCTCCATTCAGTAAAACACAAAATCCTTGATTTTAACAGAAGTTGATTAAGTAGCTGTGTGAGCATATCAAGCAAATTTAGCAGCACAAAAAAATGTTGAAGGACTGCTGTGTTGTTTTTAACTTACCAGCGTACGGAGCCATTCCTACAACAGTTGGCATCAGCCCTCTGTAGAACCCACTAAAACCACCTTCCTTTGAAAGAAAAATACACGGACATTTGTGGCAAGAAATACAATAAATGTCTTAAGCTACACATCTGTTCATACAGATCTGCACAACAGCAATCTGACTAGCAACAAGGAGCTAACAGCAGGTGCTGTTTCTTGTGCCTGAAGAACTGAGGGGACAACTGCTGGCTCCATAAATGAAGAAGGCAAAATGAATCTATAGTATCTATATCCAACATCATAACCTAGGAGACATTTCTGCATTATACATATCCCTCCCCAAATTTTTGGAATCATTACTATATGTTCTTGAAAACCAACTTCTCTCTGTTGTTTGTTTTTACCTCCCACTTATACAAGCCTTAGCTACATCTTAGCAGCCAAAGTAGAAGGAAGCATCCAGATAATTTTTTACATTAAGAAGTTCAAGGTACACACAATGAACTCATGTTATTTTCCACCAGTTCACTACTTCAATGCAGTGCAACATTATTTAAGGAGCATATTTTGCTTTGACAGGACTGAAGATTAAAAGAAAAAATACCTTTGTGTAAATCATCTTGAATGCATGGATAATTCCCATGTACTTGTGTTCCCCTTTTACTTGGAATGCCAGACGAACTCTAACCATATCAAGAGGGTAAGTACAAATCACTGCTGTAATACCTTTATTAAAAACAAAAACAAAACAAGCAAACAAAACTCACCTACACCTTATCTGGATCTAGGATTATTTTGAAAATTAGAATTTGTTTGTAGCAGTGAATATAATAGCATATACAAATTACTTTGTTAAAGAAGCACTTAAAAATCACTTCTAATCAGCAAATAGCAACCTCAGCAACACAAGAGGAATTTATATTTATACTCGATGTTCACTGAAGCTGCACATCAACCTTGATTCTCCAAAGATTTACGGGTCTAACTGTATTCACATGAGCGATCTTCACCGTGGCTCTTAAGCATCAGCTTAATCAAGTGCCTTGGCCTTTACTGGACTGCAACCACAAAATCTAATCCTATGTTACCTAATAAATAGCACCATTTATATGTTTAATTACCAAAAAGTTGTCAGAATTCAAGTGTGATTACTGGGTATAGATACATGCATTTACCTACTGCATCTGAAAATACTGAACATATTCTAACGACGTTTAAAATGAAGTCAGGAACCTACTAATGAAGAGCACTGAACTGTGTTGCATTACTGCATTTTTATAGTTCTTGTTATACCAGCACTTTGGTTTTAAAACTTTGACCAAAAAAGCTATTTCTATACTTAACAAGATGTTAAAAAGAAAAAAATCTTAGCTCGTAACTGGATGAATCCTACTTCAAAACTGTGTAGATAACTGACCAACTCGTCATTTTGGAAACACACCTCCAGTACAAAGAATAACTTCTATTACATTTACCTGAATAATAAAATTCCTTTTTACCACTAGTCTTTGAGGTAAACCACTCAGTTTCTGACAAATTATTTGGAGGGGATGGTTAAAACTGCTTACTAAAACCTGCTTACTCACCAGATTATTTTCTGGTGGTGTACCACTGGCTCTTGACAAATATATATATATACTGGGAAAAGAAGAAAGCAAAAGCCTATTCTGCTCCCTAGCAACCGCTTTTCTTTACCTAAAGATCACCCTTAAAATTGATCCTACAGAAAACGGGCACACTTCGGAACACTGGCAGGAAATCACCAGTTCCTCCTAAGTTTTAATACTCTGTTACTGGTATCTCTCTTGTAGATGCATCATTTTCTCCCTCTTTCATAAGAGGAAGAGAAAGCCACAAGAGAAAAGAGACAAAAGTGAAACAGGCAAAACCAAACAGTTCCAGCAAAGATCTCTATAACTTATGTCCACAGAGACAAAAATCAACTCCAGTTAGCTGAATTATCTGACATAAAATATCTGTGTTGGATAGGAATGGACAAAAAAAATTAACAGCATGAGAAGGCTACCCTAAAAGCTGACACTGGTCAGCTGTCAACTGAGAGCAAAGTTTTTGTCTTCCTGTAGCTTTTATTTTAGAAGACAAAAACACCTCTATTAGACATTTTTGGACTATTCCTCTGAACAAAAAAGCAGAACTCTGTCGTTGATTTTTGATGCAGTCTCACCCCTAGGGTTCAAAAGTTGGAAGCTCTATAACACCAAAGCAATTTTAGAACTGTTTCCACTGACCTACATTATTAAATGCAATTCCTCAGACTGCAGCCTTTTCCTAATGGATTGCCCAAGACGTCCAGAAATATTGTAAAATGGATGAATTCAAGCAGTTTCAAAAAAGGGGGGGGAGGAAAGAGCAAAACTTCTAGAGCTTTAGAGTTCAGAGGAAAGTTATCATAATACAGAACATGGACAAACTTATCCCTGTTCTCATTCCACTCATGCACTAAGTATCCAGGACTATCCTCTGTACAAAGACTAGCAAACAGAACAACCCAAAGTTTGATGAATGCAGTAAGTAGTCAACAAGAAGTCCAAAACCAGCACAATAGCACAATTCAAGAAAAAAAAATCAGAGGGGACTGAAAGAAACTATGTCGCATGGTTTTAAATAGGACCCATTTCTGACTTTATCTTAAAATCCTCTAGCCATGAATTCTGGAAAAAAAAAAAAAAAAAAGGATGTCCAACATTAAGGGATGATAAAACCACAAAATATGCAATATGCTTTCCTGAAGGAACTTGAAGAGGCATGTTACTGCTTACTGTTCATATGTATATTGGGAAAGGATCAAGATTTTCTCAGTCAGAAGAGACACTATCTTTTCTGGGAGGAATAGTGGCCAGCTTTGGGACACTGAAAGCCGTTTTGGGGAAGTCAACAAGAATACTAATCTCATCTCTACTCCCTAAATGCTATGAGTTATCAGAAGATGGACCACAACACCTTAAGGCTGATTCCCTGTCTTGAGGAAGTCTTTTTCAACTAACTTAAACCAACCATAGCAGAGATTTCTGTCTCAACAGGACAGAACTGAAGTCTCTCCCCAGTTCAGAGATACCTATGGCAAATCCCAGCATCTTATCTGAAATAATTGTAATAAGGCCAATGTAGTTCCTCCCTCCTGTAAGGTACCACTTCTTCAAATACAGCAACTTTTTCAATGCAAATGCTGACTCAGAAGTACCTACCCCACTGAAGTCAAGGAATTGTCAGGGAAAGATCATTTCTCACTTATTAATTTTTCTTCAAGCACTTCTGACCATTCTTGGGGACAAGATACTGGGTTACACAGACTTTTACTGGGACTCGGCATAAACAAAGCACAAGAATTAGGCCATCCAAGCTTTCAAAGTTGACAATGAGTTTAGCTGAATGGGTATTGAACTGTCTCCTGATTTCCCTACTATTCCTCCATTCTTAGTAATTTTCTTTCTTTCTCTGAAAATCAAAACTAAACTTATAAAAGTGAGAAAAAAGTGAAATACGTTTATAAAGAACAGGTGCTGCAAACATACCTGATGTACATATTTTATCTGATTTCTACATCATGCAATTTGTACTACATCGAAAACTACATAGACTAAATTAGTGCTACCAGATTATTCAGAGATATACATTCTGGAAAATGATACACACAAGTCACTGCCTGCAAGGAAATATACTCCTTCACTAGCATGAAGTAGATTGATTTATCAAGGAGGCATCTTCTGGAAAAAAAAAAAAAAAGCTTTGGGAACTATACAAAGAGAGAGACACGGCTGATGACAAAGACCATGCATCAGACTGGTTAAAGAACTGGATAATTTACAAGTCTTAGTATGTCTAGGCCTTTAATACATAATTGTATTTCTTTCTAAATGGCACCTGAAGAAGTAAACAGCACTGATTCTTTTTAAATGTTGACTCAATTAGATAACTGTTACTTAGATACTATTTAAAATTGAGATAGCAGTACCCTCCTACCCCATACTGTTTTCCAATCACTTTTAGTAAAAACAAACAAACCACCACCATGCTCTCTTTCTCTGTTAGTTTCACAGAACTTATGTTTATTCTGTTAACATCCAGTCTATTTCAGCACCTTTTTTTTATTTTTTTTTTTTTGAGTTAATCAAGGGCAGGGGAAGAAATACACATTTCTGTTTCAAGTCAGATTTGTCAGTAAGAAAAATGAAAAATATTTAGATTTGCAAAGTCTTTCTGTAATACAGGTGTTGTTTCCTAAACCCCACTAACATCTATGATTTCTCAATCCTCTCCCCAGTTCCGTATTTTCTAAAAAAAAAAAAAAAAAAAGTTATAAGCCATTTATCTGTTAATGAGGTGTTACAGCTGAAATTTAAATCACACAAGGCCCAGGAAATTCAGAGTTGAAGTTTCCACAGTAATTTTAACTCAACCTCCTTAAATACATGCATTACAATAGGTTTTTCTTCTCTCTCACTCCACTGCCCCCATCCTCATTGCCTTGCTTTTCCCTGTGGATATGCCTTTGATCCTGTTTATCAGTTACAAAAGCTACTCAAAAGTTTCCCACCGTTCTGAAGCTGATTTCAGGTCTGTTGACTGTTAGTAATGTTGGAAACACTGACATAAGCAAGATTTAAGTATCTGTACCACACACTAAAGTGAATGCAGACAGCTGTGTGGTCTGATGGCACAGAAGGGGCAAAAAGGAATAGGAACCAAGGGCTAGCCATTTTCAACTGCATAACACTATGTTCTAGGAAACTGTGAAGACCCCTCTCCATCAACATTGAGGTGCATCCAGCTCACTGTCTCTTTCAGTCATTTAAACGTCGAAAAAAAGAGGATTATATCCCTTTGCTGGTGCCAGGAAGAGACTAAGCCATGGGAGTTAAAGCCAGAAATATTGTCAGTTGCTTTTAAGAGTCTTCTCTCTTTTTGTTTGCAATTCTAGAGAACTTCTAACACTCCAGACTCTGTGCCTCCTTCCTCCACGTATCTTCTTGGCACGCTCAATACAAACCCTCCCCTCTTATCTAATATTAATGCAACCTAATAAACAAATATTAGAACTCCCCAAATGTCACACTACTACCGTACTTGTGTGTTACATTCATTTCACTACACACCTAAGTCCAGCTCATCTACTCAGTTTTGGGGTTCTCAATACCAGACTATTGAGGATATTGTACTTAAATGCACCACACCAAGCATTTCATTTGATCAGGGTTTCCAGATATATCCTCTGTATATTCATCATATTTCTGTTACTCTAACTACACAAAACAATTAACCACAAGGGTGCTTAAAGCTATGTCAGATACTATTAATTTATCTACACAAAGAATTTCAGCATGTCCAACACTGGCAGAATTAACCAATTATTCAAAGTTTTTTACAGTGTCTCACAAGTCAGGTCCCTGGTCTCTGACAAGACTCCTGAAAAAAACTAATAATAACGAATTTTGGGGAAAAATATTTTTAATGCAGTTAAAGACAGAAAAGAAAATATATATATTTCCACTTCTTTTACACAAAAAGCCAACCAAGTTCTAGAACATATCTTTTCCTTTTCTCAGATGGCATGCAAAACCAAAATACTTTCATAAAGTCTTCCTAGTTTAACTGAAGTTAGCATAACTCATCCTTTTTTCCAAAAAAAAAAAAAGAAAAAAAAAAGAAAAAAAAGAAACTACATATGAATACATTGCAACTAGTTAAGGACTGTCAATAGACTGTATTAAGCCTCTTTTACAATGTAAAAACACACACGAAAAAACACCTCGATTAAAAATCTGTCCACTATTACTTACCTTACCCTGTTTTTTTTCTTAGCTACCTTTGGCTGAATGACCAGCAAGAGAAAAATGGACTTGTATAACCATATTATATACTGGCAGTTAAAAGTGGTTATTTTTCCTACTGTTATTGCACTAATTGATAGCTAATTATTTTTAATGTTCACATATATGATGTAAGGGTATTATGACAATCCTACACTGCATGTTGAACATATAAACATTTCTGGGAAATCCAAAGAATCCACCCATTTAAGCAGCTGCATTTCCCTCTATTTCTCCAGGCTTATTTTCAACCTAGTAGCAATGGCAGACAGGCTGATGAGCCAATTCTACAAAAACCTGCATCTTTACTCTTCATCCTGATGAGATTGCATTTTTCATTATTCAGAAGCTGTAAGGAAAACCATAAAACCTGTGCTTTACAGCCTAGCACAGAATTCAGTGTTGGAACAAATATATTTTAAAGAATACTCTTAGTCAAACAGTTTTCAACCAGGCAACTATTAGTTACCATAACCATTTACATATATTTTTGCTTAATACAAATTTGCAGGAGTTTGACCTGGGAACACACTAAATCATCCTCTAATCAGATACTAGCTTTTCAGCAAAAAGGATGTCTGAAACCCAAGTACAAAACCATACCTGCCATGGATCCAGCCATTAACCGATGCACATGCCCTGAAATCCCAAGGTGCTTCTTTATTACCTACAAAATAAGGAACATTTACAATAGTTGTATATAGAAAATACAAGGAAATACATCACACCATTTACTGGCACATTAATGCAAACCCTGTAGCTGTTTATAAGAAGTTTACAACCTTACAAATTCAAACCAGACCACTAATTACTGTTAAAGTAGTTTTTTGAAATTTTATGTTGGTACCAATTTCTTATTAAAAACACCCAAGTATTAAAATACTTCTAACAAGGCAGAATGATTAGTTGAACTTATTTGTACTATTTACTCTGGACACTAGATTGTTTATTTAGTTATCTTTAATCCAGTTCAAACAAGGCAAACTGAATACTACCTCTTTCGCATGACAGTACAAAGGACAGTGAGCAAAATTGGAAAGTTACACATTTGAACGAGAACTTCCTAAATTACATTAAGTCCTTCAAGGAAGTTAGAAAACAATTTTCGGACTTATGTCAAAGAACTAAGCAGTTTTAAGAAGCAGTTTTTCCTACGAAGAATCATTCATGGGATTATTTCATATATTCACAGAAACACAGAGTTGTCTAGGTTGGAAGAGACCTCAAGATCATCAAGTCCTAACACTGACCTAACACTAACAAGTCCTCCACTAAACCATATCACTAAGTTCAACACCTAAACGTCTTTTAAAGACCTCTATTATTCCTGTGGAGGTCCTTCTATGGGATTGTTTCCCCCTCCTTTTACACACTGCTCCAAACTATCTTGAATGTTTGTCGTCAAATAATAGATAAAAGAAACTGCTATGACGTTAAATGGTTTCTTGAAATGTGTGGATTCACAAATCATTTCATTATAAAGCACGGCATGTGCTCTTTTGTTCAACACAATATAAAACAAGCATAGCGTTTTGATCAACAGCATTTACAATTACACCACAAAAAAAAAGAACATATGAAGCTCATTACAGTTAGTTCTTTGTGTGAGCCTTCTGAAACTTCCTCTTCTGGGAGGGAAGTCACAATTTGAATCTTGCTGTCTTCAGTGAAAATCCTGCAATTTACTTCACTGGGTACTAAATCTGACCTTTCAACTATGAAATTCCTCATTGCTAACAGTAAAATTATATTTTTCACCATGTATACATGGTTAAAAACATAGTCCTGCTAACATCTGATTTCTAAAACATGCTGTGGAGATTTATTATGAAAGACTAAATGCATAAGAGTCGAAAGGAATACACAAATCACACAGGCCCCCTGAAATATGCACCTTCTCTTCCAGGTCATTTTTATCTACAGCCTGACACTGACAGTCATTTCTCAGGTCAAACGTAAGAGTAATATAGCCAGACAGATTTTCAAGTTCAAGTTATTCCATACATCGGGTACTAAGAATTCCAATGCAGTATAATAAAGAACAGAAAGGTTATGTTTTGTATTTTGTTCCTACTTTCTTCACAAAGGTATATTTTTAGCAAAATAACTAGCAGAAGACTTTAATGACCTTTATATGTGTGTGTGTGTGTGTGTGTGTGTGTAAAAACACACACAATCAACAATACAAAGCAACAAGAATTGTTTGGAATTTTTCCTTAAGCAGCACTGCAAACAGTTTCACTGTTGCTTTGAAATTTTTAATGGGTAGATTTGGATAAAATTAAGCAACCTTATGAAAGATGTGCAGATTAACCAGTAAGAAACAAAAGTTTCAGTGTTAGTTTTGATCACTTAAAAATCTGTATTCATTGCAGCCAGATAAAAAGAAAAAAAAAATAAAAGAAGAGAAAAATAAATTCAGCTACCTTTTTATATTGGTCAAATGCCATAAATTGAATTGCTCCATATGGAAAGATTCTAATCATCATTGCCCCGTTTCCTTTATACAACCCAAGGTAACCTTCCTTTTTGGGGACAGCACACAACGTAGAAAACACTCCTGCCACAATGCAAAAAGAGGTATTTAACAATTACACTGGGGAAAAAAAAAAAAAAGAAAAAGTTTCAAGCAAGTAAAATAGGACAGTATGCATAGAAGTAAAGTCCAACCATGTTGCTCCTTTAACTATGGAAAACCCACTTTTAATGCCAAAATATTGCCAGAAGGAAGAGGTTTAAGGTTAAGTTTTTACCAATTTTCTCACCTCCTATATTCAGTGAATCTCCTTCTGCATTCACATATTTCAAGCCTCATGCTTGCCTGGACTGCCACCAATCCTACTGCAAATGACAATAGCTACCCACAAAAGCTAAGACTAGCAACTGAAGGAAATAAACCTGTTGAGTTGCATTTCAGTCAATTTAAAAGTCAATTAACAATAACAACAAAAAACCTTACAACAAATCTAAAATAATGGGCAAACAACCTATTGTTGTCACATGCTAAATTAGAGATTAAATGCCATTACTGAGGAAATGAAGTAAACAAGTTTAAGACTCCCATTACTTCAACATTTTACACTTCCTGTCTCAAAGAAGAAGCAATCCTACTCCCTTTTGATGGGTGGCAAATAATGCAAGATCACATAAAGTTAGGGCAAAACCAACAGCTTTAGGAGAAGCATATTGTTAGCTATAAACGACTGCTATCAAGTTGATTTTTTTTCTTTTAAATAAAGGAATAAACCATAACAGTTGAACAATTTCCACATGCAACTACTTAAGAAGAGGTAAACCTGAGAAAAGCTTCCACCTCTACCTTACTTGAAGGCAGAAAAAAAAATGATAAACTTCCATTTAAAATTTAAACAAATGTTAATTAGCTTCTGGGGTTCTAAGAATACAATAGTGTATCTGTTTTTAAGAGGTTGCACCTACTACGTGCCTCTGAGAAAATATTTACACCATGACTAGAATTTCTCTCTACCCTGCAATGCTGAGTTACTGTTTTTTATTTCTTTCAATACACGCTCTGAGATCCAGCTGTCATGAACTCCACAGAGCAGGGACAGTAAAAACACTTAGTGAGGACTGCGATGAACCCACCCACTGGATCTCTGCACATACAGGTATTCTATCCATATAATTATCTTTTTTGCCTACACGTAACAAGGACACGCATTCAAGTCAGACACGTTTCTAACAATCAAAATCATATTTAACTCTAAGTGGGGAAGAATACAAAACTTAACTATGTGTAGTCTTAATTCTACCTTATCTAGTGCCAACTATGGCACAGTACAAAGTAATAATTTAAAATATTAGTCAAACCAATTATTTCAGCCTTCCGTTGTTAAAGTGAAGATTTGAATGCGTACTTATGTGATTGCATTACCAAGCTGCCACATGCCTCGTGTTTCCCTTTTTCATACATCAAAGTTAATATATATCTGTTGAATTTTGTTGCAAGATTTATTTTTCAAGCCTTGAAAACATGATCATTATTCTTTAAGTTACAAATTTTGAAGTTTCATTTCATGTAATGTTAACTAACTCGATTATTTTTTTCTGGACACACACCCGAACTTCTGGACGTAAGTTAGGACATGTATTTCAAGGCCAAATGACAAAATATGTCTAACATTATGCACGAGAGGGCACTGTTACAGCCGCACACCGAACGGTTCTGAACATGCTGACAATTCTGAGATGACTCTCTCACCATGATGTAACACAGATGCCGAATGCAGATCGCCAGCACCTTTTGCGAAGCACCAGCCCACTTTTATTCTCAGTTTGCATCAATCACACTGCTGTCAGGGAGGGTAAGTGCACGAGCCTGGCAGGACTCAGCGGTCACCGTCATGGTATCACCAGCCCCTCTGCGAGGACCACCAAGCTCTGAAAAGTGCCCACTCCCACAAGCCCTGCAGGCAGGTACTGGCAGTAAACACAGTAACAGTTAGCAGCAGTGACAGGTCTTACATAAATGATCCCAAGCTTTGAACCTGTGATTACCAATCTCCTGCTGACTTCAGTAAGAAGAGGATCAAGCCCCAGCTCTTCCGCCTTATGGAGGATTATTCTGACATCTCAATCTCTAACTTGTCAACCAGTGCTGCAACTTAATTGTACAGGCTCAACATCTCTCGTTTAAGGGCAGTTTGGTTGGTTGGTTTCGTTTTTAAATGCTTGCAATATACAGCACAGCGACTGCCAAACGGAAATGACCTTCTGTCTGATTAGCACCTTTATCACCGTTTCATCACTGAATAACTCAACAAACCTAAATGACAGACATTGCATTTCACAACAGAATTAGACACGCAGCAGCCATCTTACCTAGATG